TCAAAATCTAGAGTCATCTTGAATGGAAATGGAAAAGCTAATAATTTTTTTTTTTGAATGGTTTGTGGTCGATATTTTTTATTTTCAATGTTGGTGATGTTTATATAGTCATTGTATATGTGCCATATGCCTATAAATTTAATTTAAACAATGATTTACTTAATGATTTTAAATTGATTTGAAATCTGATGGTCCAAAAAAATTGATTAGGTTTCACTTATAACAAATGATGCTTATCTAGTCGGCCATATCAACGTGATTTTTGCCAAAATTAATGGAGTGTTTTTTTTTTTTTCAAACTATGTTAAATGTTTTGGATATTGTTGCAAAAATTATTTTTTTTTTTATTTTGGTTACTATGAATTTTCAAATCTCATAATTTGCGTGTCATATTTATGCAATTATAATTTGCGAGTGATCATAACAGATTTACGGCGAGATATTTTCTGTAAATAACTATGAAATTAGTTACCATATTTCCGGTGAGATATTTTTGGATCGGATAAAAGATTTGTAACCAAACGACAATCACATTTCCATAAAATTCGAACAAAATTTCGGCAAAAATATTTGCATAATAATTACAAATTATATAAAAATCATTTTGACATGTGGGGCCATTTATATTACTTATAGTAGTAAGTCAACAATTTATTTTTTAAGTCAAAGTTACTATTTTTGTATTTTTCCAACAACCTCTTTATATTACTATAGATAGATATGTCAAATTAATCATCTTTTAATAATCTTCGATTTCACATCCATATTGTATATATGAAATAATTAAATTATATTTATCTTTGTAATAAAAAATAATAATATTTATTAAAATTCATTAGAAAAATAAAATTATTTTCCAATTGATATATTTATGTTTAATGTAGTTATATGTTGTAAGTTAAAAAAATATTGTAATATAACACATGTAGGTCACACAAATAAAAATTGTCATACTAAATATATAATAAAATATATATTTTTGTAAAAGATATCTAAAATTTTAACTATCTCCACTCATTAATTTTGGATTTTAAGAAAAAATTAGCAAATACCCGTGTAATACACGAGAGCAAGATTTGAGCATGGCACCATTATTGTACCCTCCAATGAGATTAAAAGATGAAACAAAAAAAGGGACAATTTTATTTTTTCAAAAAGAAATACTATTAATATAACTCAAAAAAAGTACACAGGTGGCCAACTAGTTACTAGGGTCATCTTAATTAGTTAAGTAAAATAAAAAATAAAAAACCACCGAAGAGCCTTTACCTTGACTCACTACAATAAGAAGACCCAACACTCCAAGACGACCATGTAAAGCGAAAAGACAATAAACTCAAAGTTGGGCACTCCAAATTTCACACACCATAAGGCTATGGCTATGACAATGGCTACTCTGATCGGAAGCCAACGAGTCGAATCCACTCTTCATACACAGTAACCAAATAGTTCACGGGTGGCCGGGCGAAAAGGTCTGCCAACACCTCATCCTCAACTGCAACAACCAACCATCGACCGCCGGGAGAAAGAAGATTCACTACAACATAAATAGGTTTAGGTAGCACGGTCACTGTAACACTTTACAAATTATGAGTATGTATATCACATTATTGTAACACTTTTGATGTTATAAAATATGTAAACATTTATGTAACACTTTTATAAGACATTGCTTAAATGTAACATTTTTTATGTAACACTTTCTATGTAATACTTCAAATTTCACTAAAGAAGTATATTAGACACAAATTTCTAAAAATTTAGGAAACCCAAATAATTTTTTTAATGTAACTTTTTTTGCTAGCAATTATATACATATAGAGTGAGATTACTAATATGGTTTGTGTAGCCCCGCTCACCTGCCCACGGTGGACAGTGTCCACTACTTTATTTTATATGAAAAACGTATTCTGAGAATACGTTTTTCAATTAATTTAATTGAAAAAAGTATTCTCAGAATACGTTTTTTATATAAAACAAAGTGGTGGGCACTGCCCACTGTGGGCAGGGGATCAAAATTTATGGTTTGTGTGTGTGAAAGTGTATAAATGGTGGTGAAAAGCCATAAATTACAGCTTGAGATTTTTATTTAGTTTTAAAAAGAGAATAAACGAAAAAAAAAGGGTATGTTATTCTTCTCCTATTGATCTCAAATCCCGGATTTTTGGGATTGGGTCATATTTGAAATTCGATCGGCTCGAGTGTTTCAAGAAGATAAAATGGACCTTAGGTGTCATTATCCGCAATTATACCCATTTTGTTTGCAATTTGTTTTTCCCCAAATATAGTACATGGTTTTATCAAAGTTACAATGTATTATTAATCTATACTTATATAAAAATCATTCTATTTACTAAAATTAGTAGTAAGAAAAATCAAAGGTAATTAATGCATTCTATTTCCATCAAGTATCTTATTCAATTATTTTAGATAATTGTTTTATCTCATAACATATTTTCAATACAACTTACCATGATTTTTCTATTGTGTTAAAAATCAAATTTTACATTTAAAATCTTGTGAAATTATTATTATTGTTTTTATAAAACACATATTATTTGTTAAAAAAAATTGTATATATATATATATATAATACACATCACAGTACCATGATAGATGATTTAAATTTCAACCGACCAAAATGCCAATGATTTAAATTTGAACACACCTATGCGTTTGACCAAATGTTTGGATGATTTAAAATTGAGCTCATCAAAAATTATTTAAATTTGAACACACTTGAAATTTTATGTACTTTTTATTTATAAATATATTGAAAGTGGTATTTAATGACTGTTATATAAACTATTTTAATATATTTGCAATGAATACAAGTTTGAATGAATAATTTGTAATGTTATTCATAATGTTTGTGACTTATGAGACACGAACACGTAACTCCATACATATTTGTCAGAGGGCGGCTTAATAATTTTGTAGACTTAACTTTGATTAAAAGAGGTAGAAAATAGATAATAACATTATTACTTTTTAGCCTTAAATGGACAAGGCTGTGAAAATAACTCATTTAATATTTTTGTGTAGTGCATCGCATGGAGTACGTAATAGTTTTACCATTATTTTCCATGCAAAAAATACTCGTTCACTACAATTTTAAGTTTTCGAATGCATTATTCTTTATATATTTATCTCATAAATTTACATTTTTTTTCTTCATAAATGATATTTTAGCCTTAGAAAGAATAAATACGAGATAGATGTTGGGCTAGAGGGGGCCCAATAATGCAAGGTGACAGTTGTTTGGGCCCAAGCTCCTCCATTCGTACGAATCGGGTCAGGGACCACATCCATTAATCGCAATGCCCAATACATTAATAAGGCTAATAGTGGTGAGGTGGTAAAATCCGTATATTGATAGCATCATTTACTTGGAATATGCTTTTGGAAATTCGAAAGGTATATTATGTATACCAAAATTTGGAGAACCACCTTTATAGACATGAATTAATTTCACTATTTAAGTGATGAGATTTCAATTATTTCATATTATTTAGTATACCAAATTAATAGGTGTTATAACTACAACAATAAGTAGTCTAATAATCATTTAGGTGTGTATCAAATTTGTGAAACGTTGCATCTAATCAATTTGTGATATTTATCATATTTTTTAATAGAATTGTGCATATTTATAAAGAGAAAATACATACATATTATAATTAATTTGTATAACAATTGGGTTAATGCATACTATATATGGGGCTGGCTAAGGTGCATTGCAGGCACCATTCCGTTAATTTAATCTCAGTTATTAGATCTTGTAAATTGATAGGGACTTTTTTTTTACAAGAAAGGGAGGCATCGCCTACATAAAACTATCCGACGACCTTCCGAGGATAGGACACGCCAATTATATCGTGAGTTAACCATATGTCTGCCACTAGCGGTGGGATAAGACATCGCCTACAAAACCAAAGTGATGTGACAAGTATTTATTGATTCCGCTAAAATACACAACGGGACTTAAGAATTTCCAATATATAGTTTACCACGTAGATAAAAAAAAAAATAAAAATAAAAAAATAAAATAAAAAAATCAAACAACTTTTAAGCAAAATTTATGTTTGACTTGGATGAGATTTACCATCATGCTAGTGTTATTTCACCACATACATTTTTTTACCACAATCAATCTATTATATTTCACCTTCGTATTATGTATATTTTAAAAAACGATGGAATAAAACCTTTAGGGGTGATTGTTTACCAAATAATTTATTCATTTTTATTTCAACTCAAAATCTATTCATATAATTAAATAATACAAAACAATCATTCTTACACATCACATCAACTTTAATTCACTATTCATCAACTCCCATAATTTTAACTATCTATCATTTTCAAGCATTTTCAATCATTTATCTCTTATTTTTACATCAAATTAATTTTAATTATTTTATTTTAAATATTATTTTAATACATTTTTAAAATTCCACTACAACTAATCATACTACATTTTTCAAAATTTACTATAATTAACCAAAATAACTCAATTTGAACAAATTATTTCATAAACAATTGCCACGTTTAAAAGTTAACCTAAAATAATTATTTCACTTAAAAAAATATATATATCCTTTTTATAAGAGAATGATGAGTCAGCTTATCTATACATTATCCGTATAACACTAGATCTCCGTATATCTACAACTACAAAAGATAAACGAAAACGTTAAGAATGTAGCATTCTCTATTTTCTTGTATGCTATTTTTTTATTTAGATTATTTATATTCCTATTATTTAGATTATTTATATTTATATTTATATTCCTATATAACTTTGAAAATCGTCGTTGGGCCCCACAGAGTGGGGAATCTTTTTCTATCACAAAATTAACGGGACCTGAGGTGAGCTCCCTCAAAAGCTCTATAAATAACGGCGTGAGCGTACCTTCCATAGGCTTGAAGAAAACCGCAGCCAATCTCAAGTCTCTTTCTCCTCTCCCAAAATCCCTAATCTAATCGGAAAAAAAAGCATGGTCGAATCAAATTCCCAAAATCCACTCGCTCTCAAGCCGACGATCAAATTCGTGTGCAGCTACGGCGGCCGCATCCTCCCCCGCTACCCCGACGGCAAGCTCCGTTACCACGGCGGCGAAACCCGCCTCCTCTCCGTCGATCGCTCCGTTTCATTTTCCGGTGAGTTTCCTTCCCCTAGCCACTGTAATTCCCGTCCGTTGATTTCAATTTCTTCTCGTTTAATTGTATCGATTATCTGTACGAACAGAGCTGGCTGTGAAGCTGGGAGAGATGTGCGGCACCGCCGTGAATCTGAGGTGCCAGCTGCCGACGGAGGATCTGGACGCGCTCGTATCGATCACCTCCGATGAGGATCTGGCGAATCTGATCGAGGAGTACGACCGCGCCGTGGTGGCGGCGCCGCCGTCTCTGAAGATCAGAGCCTTCCTATCCGCCCCAAAATCACCCGTAAAATCGCCGTCTCCACCGTCCTCAGCCTCATCCAGCAGCAACGGGTCCACGTCGCCGAAATCGCCGGCGTTGGCCAGCGGCCGGTGCGTCCGCCACGCGCCAAGGCCGCCGGTGCACCCTAACTCCGCCGGTAGACCCGCTGGAAAAGTTCCCGTTAAGTACGCGTACCATTATCAGTACGGCGGTGGCAACGGCAGCCATCCTGTTTATGTGATCCACAACGGCAGCCACTGGCAATAGCCGGAAAAAAAAGTTCCAGTGAAAAAGTGGATTTGGGGATCGATTAATCGGATCATTGTTATGGAGAAATGAACACCGATTAATTACTATTTTGGACGAAAAACTAAAGAAAACAATTAATTTTGGCTCCCAAAAAAAGGTATATGCTCTATGTAAGATGCATAAGGGACTGTATTTTATTAAGAACAGATCCATTTTATTTCATCCATGCCAAATTAATGAATTGGGAGAGACCATTTCCAGCAAATGTGATGGTTATTGGTGAGCCTTATTTTTTTTTTTCTTGCTTTTGTTTCTTGTGTATACATATTGAGAGATCATACTTGTTAAGTGCAAACATACCCCATTTTACTTATCTGTTCATATTTGTTTACATTTGGTATTGTTATTCATATATGTGTATGTATATGTGTATATATGTCTGGTATCAACTATCAAGCAGTGCTTTGTGTGTTATTTGTGTTTCATTGACTGGAAAATATTGCATTGTGCTTTGTCTATGATTTGTTTGTCTTTTTAATATTCTTGATTATGTGTTTAAGAAGCTTTTGTGATGTTCTTTTGCTAATAATCTTTATGTCATGTTTTTCTTGCAGGTGGAGCAGAGTACATATGAATATTCACTTCACATGATACAAAGACCATATTGAGGTGTGTGTGATGATGCAGGTATGTATATGCTTGTGAATATGCTTTTAATGGTTCTCTACATTTAAAACTATTCATATAATTTCGGGAAATGCTACAGTCCCCGTTATGGTACCATTTTGTTGGGTGTTTTAATTATTTGATCATCTATTTTATCTAACTATACGTGGACCCAACAGATAAAACACCTGACAGGATGGTACCGTAACAGGATAGTGCCGTAACGGGACCGTAGCATTTCACTATAATCTCTCACCATAATAAAACCATACTTGTTGAAAGGGTCAGATAATTATATATATATATATATATATATATATATATATATATATATATCTTTTTTACCAACAAATATGCATAATCATAAACATAAATATGACATTCCATAGCTTAAGTATAACTTTAGCATTAATCTCTGGATCTTTCTTCTCTTCTCTTACTTTCGAGAAGGCCAAGTTGAAAAATAAAATCAAGAATTGTTTAATCATCATATTTTTGTGAGGAAAATTTGAATTTCAAGTGTTGAATCAGTCCTCTATTTTTAGATTTTTTTTACTCATGCAGGTTTATTATTATTATTATTATTATTATTATTATTATTATTATTATTATTATAATATTTTTTTTTTTTTATTTATCTCATATCACTCAATTTTTGTGATCAGAGTCCATGAAGTACCAGCTGCATGCAATGGTTCAACTTGAATGATGAAGTCATGTAGACCCACCTTCATTGGACAATAATAATAATAAAAAAGAAAAATAAAAAGGACGAATAGAGACTATTTAGTAGCCATTAATTAATAAAATTGGACCTTCTTTTTCTCAACCCCTTTCATAATTTCAACTTATTGAATAAGGCAATATTTTGGTCCCACATGGGCCACAACACAGCTGGCGCATGAACTCATTGAGAAAAACCAAATTATTCGCAAGTACTAATCCCAATCTCCACCACGTAATTTAATGACCAATTAAATAAAAAAAGAGAGATTCTACGGTCTCGTTGTGGAACTATTTTGTCGAAACAAATCGCGACGAAATGGTTCCATAACGAGATTGTAGCGAAAATGAGAACTTAGGTTTGCTTAGGGATAAATATACTTGTACTATATTGGACACAAAGTTACAGTGTGTGAAATGGGACATCATATTCATGAAATGTTCTACTAAAACTTTTTAATGATATTTGTCTGGTTGAGCATTAAAAGTAACGTTCAAATTTGGAGAACTTGGTTTAAAGTTTGAACACACAAGGACCAAAATATGGTGAGCTGTTGACCTAATTGTATTTCTTTTTTTCTTAAGAAAAGTATAATACTGCAGCGTTTAGACTTTTAGAGTTGCTAAATGAGACGATTCGGTCATCAAAATAGTTGGAGTTGAGCTTGTTTAAAGCTCGTTTTCATTAAGGCTTGTTCAAGATAAAAAAATATGTTAAGTAATTTACTATAACTCGACTTGTTGATATTGATAAAACCATGTACTACACACAAGGACCAAAATATGGTGAGCTTGTTCGAGATGTTTTATTATCTTGTATGGTCAATGAGTCGAACCTATCTCGAGCTTGGGTATCGTAAACGAGTTTCTGACTCGACTTGTTTACATTTATAAATGTGCTTGAATAAAAATACTTTTCTTTTTCATGATCTCAGCAAATGATTCGTTTACAAAAGCACTAATGTTTTCATGAATAAAAGACAAAAAAAAAAAGAGAGAGAAATTCCACATAAATGCTTTCCAAGTGGGGATGGCTAATTGGCAATGTTATGCAAATTGATGGGGGTGAAAGGACCTTCATCTCCACTTGTTATTCAACACATAAGGAAAAAAAGAGTTATTATTATTATTATTATTATTATTATTATTATTATTATTATTATTATTAGAAATTAAAATAGGTGAAAAGGAAATAAATATTGGAAAACTGAGGGTACGTAAAGCAAAAGTCGTCTCTAGGTTTATCTTTATTATTATTATTATTATTATTATTATTATTAGAAATTAAAATAGGTG